TATTAGGGCAGATCAGTCCAAAGAAATGGACTACCCTCAATAAATCACAGAATAGCTTAATCAATGCCCCACAAGAAAGAGATATATACTGGATGGCCTGAGATAAACAATGACTTTATACAGTAGGTGTAGAAAAAAATCCCATTTATTATTACCTATAGAAACAAAACATTTTTCTTTTTCAAAATACACAAAATATATCATACCTTATACAAACCATTATTAATGAATCTGATAAGAGAGAGCCTGTAGATTATCCTCTAATATAAAAAAGTTTGGGGGGGTCAATATTTTCAAAGTGCTTTATGCAGTTCTGAACAAGAGCACCTTGTTGCCACATGAATACCAGTAAGCAATACCCATGCTATATAGAACTGCACAATATGGATGTGATGTTTGGATCCAGTTACGATCCACAGTCTGAATTTTTATCTAGAGCTTAGTGAGCAGAGTGAGTGTAAAAAAATGCTGAATGTAGGGAAACAATTAGGAAATTCCAGTACAGTGCTTGCCGTGTAATCGAATTACTAATATCAACGTTTTATTATTTTTTTTGTCTGCTAAAATAATGTGTGATGCTTAGTTACCATTGTTTAAATTAAGGGTTTGCAGTAATTCTAAAAAGACAAGCATTTGAGATTAAAATATCTTTACTAAACATACATTTTCTGTTACAATAAAAAAAAAAACCCGACCTAGAGATTGACCATACTGTATAATAATAGTGCATATGCAATTTAAAAAAAAAGACTAATAATTCAGTGGACAGGACTCTGGGCTTAAAGCAGGCAAGAAACAGTGAATTGGTCTTCCTCTAGGCATAGCGATGGTCTTTTTCCTAATTCTTCTGAATTGTTTCACTATTGGGCTTTTAAAAGCTTTAAGTAACACCTATAAAAAGAGACACACACTATCTAGGTAGTTCAATACAATGTTGCAATTTTCCTGTCATGCTCTAGGTGGCCTTATAATATCATAAATGATTTAAGGTCAAACAAAATAATGGTTAATTGACACACAATATTTAAACCCCCTATACTGGCTAAATGCTGTTGTTGCAGCTCTTTGTACATAGGTTTACGTCCTTGTTTCAATGTTTAAAAAGAGAGGCAAGCTGAATGACAGGAACAAATACAAACATGTAATTCTCCATGCTTTTATGTGGTCATTTATTTACAGTAGATCACACAAATACTCTAATCCAAACTAATATATCCTGCATCTTATTGTTTAAAGTAAAAAATAAGAGCACAGATGCTCTAGGCAAAACATCTAACAATAGACTGTGTAGCTCTCACTTCTGTGTTCTCAATGGCAATTTATGTGTCATGAAACCTTTTTAACAGACAAAATAAAGTCAGAAAAATCACCATTTCTATTAAATGTTTGAAAACAATTGTGCATAACTGCATATACAGTAGTATCTATACATCTTGTGACAGACATCCATTTACCTCCAACCCTTTAGATAACTGCTAACATAGCTGCAAACATTTCCAAATAATTGTTTTGACATTTTGCTGTTGAAGTTACACATTTAATTGCACCATTTAAACTACTGTCTTGAAGGATACAACTTATTATTGAAGTGGAATAAAACAATGAGTGTGTGTTAAATGCATTGTTATAGATATTAACATAGAAAAAATATTATGTGAATTTAAAAAGTAAAAAGGGAGCAAAAGTATGAAACAGTTGGTTAGCATTAAAACTAAGGACATCCCAAGGCCAAATATTTACAAAGAAAAATGTTTCAGTCTTCAGACTGTTCGTAGAAATGTGCAAATCTATACAGCCTGAGACTATCCCTAAAAATCAGAGTCAGTTTGTGAGTACTGTGAATGTTGCCACAGTTTAGACCCACCCCTTTGTTACTGCAACAGATCCGCCTGTGTTATATATTTACAATTTATATTCAAATACACTTCCTGCTGAGCTGGTTGTTTGTTGCAGATAATTATATTAATATCCGTGACTACAATAAACTATAGTATATACTCCAGTATTTTGCAAAGCTCTGCAGTTGTACTTTGGCTCTCTGTGGTCCAGTACACACAAGCATATTTTCATCTTAGCTTGCAAACGCTAGTCTACATAGCAGAGAAGCTTTGTCTGCAGAAATAAACAAGCATTGAGCAAAGTTCATCACTCATTTATCACACGTCTGAAAAGTCAAAATTCTGTTTTTTTCCTGAATGTGAAGCTCTTTAGACTAGCGCATATAAGCTAAAGGGAAACATGCCCATGGTATCTAGGCCTTAACGCAGTGTCATTTTAAAAAATCCATATATACATTAATTTTATGGCTTCAGTCCCAATAATACAGAATTAAATGAATAAAAGCAGGTATGAGAAACAGTCGTCATAACCTTACATTCCAACACCTTCCAGCATACAGGTGAAACTCGAATAATTAGAATATCGTGCAAAAGTAATTGCAGTAATTGCTGCAAAAGGGGCCCAAACCAAGTACTGAGTACATATGCATGCTTGTACTTTTCAGAGGTACGATATTGTTCTATGTACAATCCTTGTTTTATTGATTGCATGTAATCTCATTTT